CCAAACATGGATCTTTAGAGTAATGAGTGACTAAAAAAATCATTTCCAGGTGTTTTTTTTTACTTTCTACAAAATTTAAGATTAATTTTATTCTTGAAAGACCAATTAAATTAAAATTTTTATTGAGATGATTTATTCAATCTAATCATATAGACGCTATCTATTTCAACTATATCAATAAAAATAACCAGCACATATTTCTTAAAGGACTTGAGGTTGGTTACTATTAATAGTATTGCGGGTTACTGTTAATCTATATCTAAAATTCTGACCCTCAGACTGAAAATTCATAATTTTAGATGTGAGGTAAGACATACGAACTACATAGTAGAAAATGTCCAATTATTTTAAAGTTTTCTTAATCATGTATGAAGGGGGAGAAATGTAAGAAACTTTACGAAAACTCTGAAGGGTTGATTTTTAAAACATTTGATACATGAGTAAATATGCTGAAATCCTTCAAAATTCTGCTACTAGTTAGTTCGGGTATAGTAGATCAATCATTTTAATCAGAATTTTAGATTAGGATTGATAATATATATTAGATAATATTACTCGTGGCATGGCTAAACTTGTACGTTTTTTTTCTTGAAACAGCATGCATCTTACTCTAATAACTACTTTAAGTAATTAGAAGATGTAATAGCTTCAAATAATAAATGGGTTTTTCATATATAGATGGCTACACTTCGTATATCAAACATTTTCTACTTGTATCTTTTTTTTATCCTAGTTCATTTTGAAATAGGACTAAACTCCTCATACATGAACATCTAACATTTTATGACAATCCCAGGACAAACTAATATCAATCACACGAAAACCATGAAAAATATCCAGAAGATAAATACATACAAATATACGTGGTTCGACTTATAGCCTACGTTCATGGGTAAAGGAGAAAAATAACTTTACTAAATTGTGAGAAATAAAATATTAAGATATCTCAATCACTTAATCACAAATCACACCTCAGAAAACACTTAATCTCTCTAATAGGTCTCTAACACCACTAGAGCCAACCAAATAGAGAGCCAAATCAAGTACCTCTTGAATCTATTTGCTTCAGCCTGCAGAACCCGTCTCATTACTTACTACTGCTGTCGGGTGGATCAATTGCCTACAACCTTAATAAAGAACTATCCATTCTTTCCCTTGATGTTGCGACCCTAGATTTGATAAATTTTTATCAATAAGCTTCTGCCATATTTTTAGAGACAAAGGGTAAGAGTTGTTGCTAGCCATAAATTCGACAAGATAAGAATCTTAATCTCAATAGAAGAAACAAGCTCGTAATTTTATCCTTATCTTAGTACTAGCCATAGCTAAAAGAAACTCTAATTGGATTGCATATCCTATTTGAGGACTAGGAGTTGACTCACCCGTAACATACCATTTTCAACTAATAAGAGCCCGGTGTTTCGTTTTCATTTTAGGTTTTCTTATGGTACTTCATGGATCATAAATGAATATTACGCTTCTCTCAAAAACACCATGTACATTAATAATTAGGTGGGCACACATTGGGCGTGGCAAGGTGCTCATCATTCAAGAACAGGCTGAGCAACTTCGACTCCACCCACGATGTCGACCCAACCCTCGACTCCAAACTGGCTGGCTGCCACACTCTCAAAAGCCTGCATCGCCGGCGACAACACCGAAGTAGCTTTCGATGCTTCAAGGAATTCCTTCGACAACGCATACTTCAACGCGCTGCAGACTGGTGATGGCCTGCTGAGCTCCGACCAGACTCTCTTCGTGAGCCCGCAGACGAGGGGTTTTGTCTTTGCGTACGCGATGAATCAGGCAAGGTTTTTCTTTGATTTTCAGCAGGCGATGGTTAAGATGGGGCTGATTGATGTCAAGGAGGGGAATCAGGGAGATGTCAGGCTTGATTGCCGCAAGGTTAATTAATTGACTTGGTTGAGTGTTAAAATTTATGTATTGTATTTATATATACTAATGAAATGTGTGCTTGGATGATCTGCATTGAGTTTTAGTATATAGGTAGTGCTTCTTGGGATGTACGCAATAAATTGTTTATAAACTAGCTATTTTGCAAAAATAATACTATACACTAAATTTTTTTTTTTTTTTGGTAAGAGAAGTATTTGCATTACCCATAGAAGCTTGAAGCACGAAGCTCAAGCGCAGGCATACCCGAGCTTAATACAAAATTTGTTAAAATGACGAAGGAATTGAGGAAAAGAATTGAGATAAACGTGAAAAATAAGCAAGACAGACTCTACCACACCCAGGTGGCAGGGTGTGACAGAATCTGCCCTGTTTGCCATGAGTGTGGTGTCTGCCACACCATAGTGTCGCAGAATCTACCCTATTTGCTATGAGTGTGGTGTGTGCCACACCAGGGTATGACAGACTCGTTTTTAGAATCCTAATCTGTTTGAGATTGTGTTTTGTTATAAATAAAGCCATGTTTTTAAAGATTTTCTATCGATTGATTGGGTAGCTTGAAGGTGATTTTGAGCACAGAAAAGAGAGATCTTTCTGAGCAATTTGTTTGATGCTTTAGTTTGAGAGATTTGAGAGATTTGTTTAAGAGGTTAGTTGAGTGATCTTGTAATCTCTACTTTGTGCGATCTTTCTCTATAGTGGAAACCCATCCCTTTTTTGCCCCATGGACATAGGCAATTTGCCGAACCACGTTAAACTTTTGTGTTTGAGTTGGTGCCGTTATTTTGGATTGTTTTGGCTTTCTCTCTCGGCATTTGTGTTTGTTCCGCCGTGCACAACAAGTGGTATAGAGCTCAGGTTACGCTTGGACTATTGCAGGAGTAGATCACTTTGAAAGTTCGGCTAGGGCATCATTTGGAGTTAAAGGTGAGATCTTTTTGTAGGCATTCAAATATGCCAAAACTCAAAATGTGAAAAGGAGGGTCAAGAGAACGAACCCCTTCCCAATCGAAGACGAGGTTCGTTGATTAGTGAAAATCAACCTTGAGAACGAGAGTCGCCACGCAGTAGATCTCAACACCAAAAGACAAAGTTCATAAAACCGATCCACGGGATTTGGAGCTTGTCATTGGATACGAGGTTTGAGGTTCACCAGTGGATACGAGACTCGAAGCTCGTCATTGGATACGAGGTTCGGGGTTCATTGGTGAATACGGGGTTCGAAGCTCATCATTGGACACGAGGTTCAAAACTCATTACTAGACATGAAACTCATTAGTGAAGATGAGGTTCGTTAAAAGGGAACTCACAAGACTTATTACGTAGTTGGACTCAGCTGTCGAAGATGAAGTTTGTTAGTGAAAGCGAGGTTCGTTAGACGAAGTCAGTGAAGACAAAATTTGTCAGGAGAAACTGGTCTACTGCAAGGTTTGCTTGGTAAGACGAACCTCGAGGCTGGTCTTACTTGACGAACTATGCTTCAATTGAGGTCGAGGTTCGTCATCCACGTGAGATTTACCTGTAAAGGCTCCGAAGACTTAGTCAGCCACGTGGGCTAACCTTCAGGAGCACGTTACGGCCTGCGCTGATTTGGGGGAGGCAGTTACGCCCCTCTATCCGTGATTGTAGCACGTCAGTTACGTACTAAAACCCTATAAATAGCCATGGATAGCTACAGAGAAGGGGGTTGGTTAATTGAGACTTTTAATCATCAGAAATCAGAGCTTTTACGTGTAAATCCGGAGTTCGAAATTCGATTCTAGCCGGCTAACAAAGGTCAGAAGCTCTTGTGATCTTGGTCTGATCGTCAACGGGAGGTAAGCTTGACTCAAGCATCGGGGGAAGCATCATTTCGCCACCTAGAACCCACCTTAAAAAAAAGAGAAGTTAAATTAATCTTCTCTTCCTCTGTAATCGAGAGAGAGTGAGTGATTGTAAGGGTTTCGTACCAAGTGATTGAACACATTTCTTAAAACAAGAGAATGAATCAATCCTTTAATTTTTCGACCCTACAGACGATGGCGACCACAGTGAGAGCATCTATTCTCTCCGACGAGATGGTGTGACACAATCAGACAAGATTACAGTGGGAACGGACGTCGAGACTTTGGTCATCAAATTTTACCAGTCCAAATATGAGGATTTTCTTTCCTCTAGTAAGTCTAGTCCCACGAGGGCACGAAAGTGTCGTCGAGTCTCGTATGAGACTTCAGCCTAAGTGGCTTCTGATGATTCAACTCGAATTAAGATTAAGAAAAAGTCCAAGCCCCTCAACGAGGAGGCTCCAGAAACTAGTCGTCAGGCTAAGAAATGGGTTGTCAAGCAACCTAGCCGAACTTCGGATTCTACTAGTCAAATTATGGCTTTTGAAAACGAACCTCATCCAGCTTCGGTTGAGGCAAAGGTTCCAGTTAATCCACTATCAAGACGCGCTCGATAACGTCAGAGTCAGAACCAAGCTCATCGTAGGGCTCGAGCTTTGGTCTTGCTAGATGGTTTTTATTATCGACTGAGGGTTAATCAACCTAAGGTCAACAAGTCTGATGAGGGTCAGGTGAATGAGGAACGTCTGAATGACAGACCTCACCCTTGTACCTAAGTAGGCTCCGACAACGAACCTCATGCTCGAAAATAGGTTCAACAGTTTCAACAAGCGGTTCATACTGACGTTCGTGAAGAAAATGAACCTCCGGTTAATAGCCAACTGAGAAGGCACAAACGTCGAACTCGTTTTACCAATGAATATCGTCACATGAACGATGGAGTTCATCAACCTCTATCATTCAGAGGGTCTCACTTGGGTAAAGCTAAGATGACGGAGTCGACTGGGGGTTATCCAGGTGGTGACCTTCGGGATTATCTCACGCGCAAGCATAGCATGAGCCAAATGCAATCTCATTGCTACTGTGAGAAATTCATTTCTGCAGTACTTTCCCAATGTTCATGTGGGGAGTCAACGCATAAATCTTCAGTCTTCGAACGGTTGACTGAACTGCTGATAGTCTTATCATCAAGAAGAAGATGCTTTCATCCAAGAAACAAGCATCCAAGAATCGCCATATTGAAGTGATGATCAACATGGCCAGCAAGGGTAAAAGCAAAATCTCAGCTGATGATTCTGAGTCTTCTAATTTTGAAAGATCTTCCGGAATACAAGAGGAACTCATTGAAAGTCAGGGTATTTACCAACATACTCGTTCTCGTACTGGAGCAATGATCCCGCCAGATTACCGTAAACTAGCGGGTATATCCTATGGTGTCGATCAAGAACCTGAAAATTCAGCCATTGCTACTTCTCAGCCCTGCAATACCGACCAAAGTGAGCAAGCAAGTGCTCACATGATAGAAAAAGAGGAAGAGCTCTCGCGGCAGCTGGAAGAGCAACAATCAACTATTCTGAAAAAGCAAGAGTCCATCAGACACCTGGAAGCAATGGTGGAGAGACTCCATGAGGAGAAGGAAAAGAAGAAGAAGAAGACTCATTCCCAAGCCTCAGGATCTAGGCGTAGAAGACCTTCACCTGTTGATGAAGATCGCTATGATGAAGACGATGAAGAAAGGTTTGTGAAGATTCATTCTGAATCGTCCGAAGCTGAATCTAATCCTCTTACGAAATAACGGGATCAGAAATGAGAGAATTTCCAGAAGCAGCTTGACGCACTGAAGCTTCAAGGAAACTTCAAAGAGTTGGGGGTGTCAAGACCCTATCCAAGTGAATGGGATGCGATCTCATATCCTTCGAAATTCAAACCACTCAACTTGGTGCAATTTGATGGCAAGGGTTCTCCTACCCAACACATTTATTAATTCCAAACACAGACCGGTCATATAGTGGGTAATGACCCTATTATGACTCGATTATTCATTAGCACTCTAAAGGGGGTGTCTTTTGAGTGGTTTCGCAGACTCGAGCCAGGATCAATCCAGAGTTGGAGAGATTTAGAGAGGTTTTTCTTAGCCCGATTCTTCGACGATGACACTGAAGTGTCCATAGCTACATTATTGTCTGAGAAGCAGAAGAAGACGGAGTCAGTCAGTGACTTCATCAAGAGATTCAGAAATCGATCGTTGCATTCACGTGATCAAGTTTCTGAAGTTACTCTCGTGGAGATGTGTCACAACAATCTTTCTATTAATATCTTGTCCAAGATGGGCGATGTTGAAGCCCGTTCATGGAAAGATTTGATTTGGCAAGGAGAGCAAGTGGAAAACATGCTCAAGAGGATAAGTGCTGAAGAACCTCAAGAATCCCAAGCTAAAAAGGGATGTGGTAAAGGCAACTATAATTCATAGAAACAATCGAAAGGGAAAGACACTTTAGCTATTGAGACAGCTCCATCCCCGAAATCCTCTACCAAACAGAATGGAAATACATATGACAATCGTTTTCAGAAGAAATACGATTTCAAAGATGAACACGTGGTCTCTATTCTTACATCTTTAATCAAGATGAATAAGATCAAGCTGCCAGAGGTAAAGCGGAATGCGGAAGTATCAATGACTGATGATCCTAACTTTTGCATGTACCACAGGATGGTGCATCATCCAACTAAAGCTTGTTACATCCTGAAAGATAAGATTCAAGCTTTGTTAGACGCATGTGTGATGACCCTTCAAGCTGAGCAAAATAAGATATCTTTGAATATGGTCTCACTTCAATTTGGAGATTTCGCCGAGGTGCAAGTACAAGACGGCGTGAAACCGATTCCTCAAGTAGAGGCGAGAGTGGTAAACTTCGACCCGCATCGAAAGAAAGAGAAGGGGATGGTCTCTTACACTACCCCTAAAGGTGAATTGATGTGGGTTCATCCTGACTTACTAATGGATGAACAGTGGACATTGGCAAACTCAAAGAAGCCTAGAGCCACGCGAAGATCCTGCAACGCTGTGTCGGCCATCCCAGATGAGGGGGTTGAAACTGCGTCACTTAGCAGTTCTGAAAATGAACAGCCAGCCTTCGCTGTGCAACCTGTACAGATATCAGGAATACGTGGGGAAAAAGAGTATTTGAAGAAATATTCTAAAACAGCAGCTGCACCACCCAGACCAGGGAAAGAAGTAGCAGAGCAAGCTCAAGCTAAGGAACTTCGTTACAACAAAGCACTCAGGAAAG